GTGTTAGATAGCTTTTAAGCTTTCTTACGTTTTAATGAAGTTATTAAAGTGAATGCTCTGCCTGCATAATTCATGAGCGTTTACTCTGTCTTCAAAGACAGCCTCTGAACAATATTTTTATTTTTCAAATCTGCTATAAGACATTCAAAGCCTTTTGAATTTGAATGCAGTATTTAAAATAAATGCATAAGTGTAGAAACCCAGCTTTATTCTGATGTAGTACCATTTGGTCCCCTGAGATGGCTCTGATTTATAATATTTCCATGACAGATATAAAGAGGAACTATGTATTTTCTATTTATTTATAGCTCATAAATATTGAGATTAGCTTTCACACATGATGGACTGGATTACAGGCTGCTTTTTCTGCTGTGGCTCTATCTGCAGCTTCCTGCCGAAGGAAGATCACATGGATCCAATCACAGCCTTTGCATTTCTTCCTAAACATTGATTTGGCATAAGTGGATACAGTTTAGGGATTTATATAATCTGTGAACTGTGCTATGACAATTCCTAAGTGCTATCTGAGACTTTTCTAATTGGGTCCTCAACTCCATCAGTAACCTCCATTTGACCTTGGGGATGGCGAGAAGCAGCAGGGCAAAGAAGATAAGGGAAGCAAAAAGCTTCCTACTAGGATACATTCGCAGTAATTAGAATGACTAAAATCTAAGCATACTAAAATAACACGTAAGACAATAATGCTGTATCTTTCCAAGTTTTTAAGAAGAAAACAACCTTGTTGAAATAAATCCCAAAAAGAGGATAAGATACGTTAAAGCTTGAAATTATTATCAGCTACTAAGAGATGACACTTTTTGGAAATAAAACTTTTTTTGTCATTAATACATAGTCACTGAACTTCGTAAGAAAATGCATTTAAGCCAAAGGGCCTGGGTAGCTAAAAAGCCATAACAACAGTCTGTTCAGGTGCCAGCACTCATTTCAGGTAATTTATTTCAAAGATTGGTTCAGTCAAAGCAGGGAAAGCTGCTGGAAATTGAGCTGAAAGCTTTTATTTTGTGTCAGGAACAAAAATGAACATAAATGCCAGCTACAGCTAAACACACTGAAATCTACAGAACTGCCTACATGAATGTGTGTTGGTATTGGGAATCCTTCTGTGTAATAAATAGCACTGTATTTATTGCACTTATCTGCTAGTCAGATGTGCTAAGGGTTTAACCAGAATCTTTTTCTTTAGAAAATAAGAAAAAAAAAACAAAACCAAACACAAGATTAAAATGACTTCAGATAAAAGCTTTATACTTATTTAAATTAGTAACTGAAATCACTACCACTGATTTAAATGAATATATCACAGGGGAGCTGCAGATAATTTCTCCTCTTTCTGGAGCAGAAGAGAATGTAAACCTGAATAATGTATCATAATTCATAGACAGCCTTTGTGAACTGAAAGGCACTGATGAGATGCATTGTGCCCTTATAGAGGAATTAGTTGGACTGTGTCTTTATGGGCTTTCTGGAGAGATTAAACTACAAGCTGGTTTTAAAATCTTCTACATCATCTAAAGGCAATTAAAAAAAACAAACACAGTGACTTGAGAGTCTAAGTTCCCTTGATTTTCAGTAAGACAGAAGCTTCTAGGTCTCTTAGACATTTGGGGTGAACTATGGCCTATAATTCCGTGTAACTCCAGTTTACCAAATTCAAATAAAAATGATCTCCTTATAGTTAACATTCCTACATTTCACCTGCCAGATGTCAGATTCATTTAAAATGCATTTGAATATAATTTAAATAATTAAAATGTGGTTTTAAAACATGCATAATTGTTTGCCAGAGGCCCTCACTAACCAGAAGTAATAATTTCCACTTGTCGTGGTGACTTGATGAGCTCAGGATGAACAGTTCCAGTGCTTAAGCCAAGGTTTGCTTTAGCCACAGCTTGATGTTGCAATTAAGTTTAAGACCTGGGAGTTGATTGCTCAGATGGGTGATCTGGATTTGTTACAAGGAGTCTAATAAAGTTGATGATTAGTTTGTTGTCTTTTATTGTCTATCTAAAGTAATTTATGCCTGGCTTTTGACTGTCCAAAATGTTGGAGATAAAAGACTTTCTCTGCAATTGTAATAACCATTCAATTGGACACACAGATTGACTAGTGGCATTACGCTATTGACAGTAGAACAAAGTAGCTAAGAAAGCTACTTCGTTTCATAATCAGTATAGGTACTTTATTAACTGTGCTCTATTTCTACACAGTACAAATAAATATGTTGAAAATCAAGCATATTTTAAAGTACGACTGACCACAGTTATGGATGCACTCCAATTTTTGATGAATTATTAAAAAGGAGTTCAAAAGACTGCTGAGCCACAGTGACTGACTTGCTCTTCGTATTGGGACAACAGATACACAATTGCTAAAGTTTTCCCCATCACTGAAGAGCAAATCAGATATTCAGTAGAAGCAGTAATGCTCAAGATGTTCAGGGCAGCAGCCAGAAGGAAACTGCAGAGCTGCCTGCTGTTTGCTGTGAATGCTTGGCAGACCTCCTGCAGAAGCCAGGGCCTTGCTCCTCCTTCATGAAATGCGGATAAACTCCACTGAAAGGCAAAAATGATGCAAGAGAAAGAGGAGCCATTTCCAATTGCCTATTTTCTGCTTTTCTAGTATCTTCTCCAAAACAAGAGAGAATAACAGAAAGGAACCTAAGCTCTAAACATGCTAACCTCAACAGTGAGAGACTTTTTGGCAATTTTTGTCAAAGTTCTAATTTATTTTTTTCCAGCTGTGACACCTACATAATTTTCCCCTCTTGCTAATGGTCTTCCTTTGGTGACAGTAAGTGCTGTTGAGCATGTAAGTAGCATTCAGACTGAGATAGCATTTGATTGTTAGCATTTTCCCACCTCCATTGCAATGCAAAACTCTCAGTTTTGCAAAACGAAAAGCAATTTTAGTGTCTAGAGAAAATAACAAAGTAGTGGGGAAAGTGTTCCCTAATTGAGATAAAATCCTGTCACCTTCACTAGCACTTAACAGTACCACACTCCGAAAGCAGGTATTATTTAGAGTGAATAATGACAACAGAATCTCAGCTGGATTTTAATAGTTACTTCTGCATAATTTATTCAAAAGATAAATTCCCTAATGAAAGATACTGGATCCATTTTAAGCCATCTGTAATTACTGCCTCAGGAATACCATACTAGCTGCTGTTTATCACTGTCAGGGACTTCTGAATTCCTACTACAACCACGGTATCCTATTGGGTTTGTTTGTCTCTGAGAGAACACAGTGTTTCAAGTGTGGTATGGCCCTACGAAGGAGAACAAAATCTGTAATTCCCCAGAAATGCATCTGTATGTCCTTTACTCTGTTTCGGTGCTTCAGCATATAGCACATTCATTTCCTCATGGTTATTTCCAACACAGTGCATTATGTTTTTCATCAGAAGTTTGTAGAAGGTTTTCAGCTCATTAGTACTTCCCTTGATCCTTTCTTATGAGTTTTGTAGCCATTATCCATCACACTTCTTTCAAATTTTGGAAAAGAATATACATGCTTTGACTCTCAGATCTCTGCTTCAGTGAAAAAGAAAAAATCACTATGAGGATGTAATTTTTCATTAGGAAACAATTAGAAAAGTGCTCAAGAATTTTAATTTGAAATCGGTTCAGTGCAAGCATTAAGGAAACAAATACTGGTGTGTTCACATTTTAGAATGGGTGTTCAAAAAGTTAGATTTGATTCAGGAACAACTACAATATTTTCATGTCTTTCTGATGTCTATTGCAGTACAGCAGAAAACTTCAGAAACAGGTAGAATAAAGGAAAAGTTTCTAGTAAGAGATCTCATCTCCTTTCACCTTGTGAAGGCCTCATGTCACTGTTCATCAAAGGTGGTAAATGAAACCTAAAGGCTTACTGTGAGCAGGCCTCTATGCCTATGTATGCTTTAGATTTACCACTTACCTTGTGCTAAGACTATGAGAAAATGAAAGCCAAACACTTTACCATTCTGTTCGTCACTTGCTACTTCACGATGAACAAGTACATCAGCTGTGTGTTAATGACAGCTGTAAAAGCGTTCAGTTCTAGAGCTGTGACAGAAGTATCCTCATTCTCAGTGGTCTGTAAAAACTGTCTTTTTAACAGAAGGTATATAAAATAAACTTTTCTTCTAAATACCTCTCCTTACGAAGCATCTTGTTATTTAATTTGATCTCAGTTAATTGGCAATTCAGTCAGTAACCTGTGTCCAAGAATTCCAGACACAGCGGAGAGCAGAAGCCTACACAGAGCTCCAGAAGGACTCAGGACACAGCCCCAGTGCCCCGAGTTGACAGCAGCCTCCCTTGGGGATGGCATATATCATCCCACTCACTGCCTGTGTGGCCTCATCATAAGATGAGGAAAGGCTGCAAGGACCATTTGTAGGTGGGAGGTACCAACCTTATTGACTCTCAGAAGAGCAGGACTGTCACTGTGACTGCTGCGGTACATATTAATGCAGAACACTCCCAGATCTGCTCAAGGGAGCAATCACATCTACGCCCTTCAAATGCAGAAACAATTATCCTAGCACCTCAACCAATAGTCAGCAGTGACCTGTGATGAGTTTGCCTATTATGTGTTATCAGTAACACTGTAGGGAAATGTTCACATTTTATGAGATTAAACAGACAATAGGAATAGTAGTCAGGGTTTGTTTTTCCTCTTGCTCGAATAGTCCATATTGATCTCCAGGTAACAGGAAAGAATGAAAGTATAGAGAGAATTATCTGACTATTTAACTTTTCACCTAGTCTTGGACTGGAATGTAATGTATAATGAAATTTCTCTTTTAAAGCTAGAATGAGTTCTGATATACTCAGTCATGCCCTAAGATTCAGAAAACACAGAATGCATTTTTCAGACAGCAAACAAGAGCCCTTACTCTCTCAACAAAGAGCTCTCCAATGGAAAATGAGTTGTTTTTCTGCCTTATGATCCTGAAAAATTCTGCAAGCAGATTTTCATGCATGTACCTGACAGACCACCGACATCCATCTTCTTCAGGTTCTTTGCCTCCAGAATGACAACAGTCAGCTTTCCGGCAGTAGGCACATAACGGAGGGAGAAGCAGATATCACCCAGCTTTTCTTGCTGTGAAAGCAAGCAAGGCATAGTGTTATTCTTTTTAAATCATTTTGAATCTTTAAAAAACATAGTTTTAAAAACCCCACGGAAAATTAACAGGATTACATTTCAAACCCCTGTTGTAAAACAGAACATTCAAATTAACAACAGATTCTATATCTGCCACAAGATACTCAGCTTGAATACTTGATAGCCTCAAGACTGTTGTAATAACTAGAGTTTGCCCGTTTGTACGGGCCCCAGTGACAAGATGTGCTGGCTGCAAAGCAAGTTACACTGCCCACCACTTCACCTCAGACAATCAGACTCCCACAGATACTGTTTGCTCTTTAATATTAACCAAGACATTATTTTTTTCCAGTTTCTAAAGGGAGTTCAAGCTTCCAAGTGATTTATGAGACTTTTAACTTCATGCAGTAAGCCACATTTTCAGCATCAATAGCAGTTAGACATAGATGTCTACCTATACAAATACAAGACATCTGCTTTTACAAGTACTTTCTACTGACAATAAAGCACATATGCAATCTTAAAAGCTTTTGTTTCAATTTGTGTAATATAAGTATCTAAGCATCTCTGTCTGCATGAGCATTTTTGAAAATCCTTACTGAACAGCAAGCATATATTCTATTTTTGTGCTCTCCTTACATTCTTCTCTCAGTAGCTCTTAAACACTAAACAAAAAAACCCCACTTTTTTGTCCAGGTTTGAGTAAATGTCTCAATAAAAAAAACAATAACAATAATAAAAAAAAACAATACATCTATCTGAAGAATGCATGTGAGATTATCAGCTATACTTCAAAGTTTATATCTACCTCCCATGCCAAAAAGGTGCAAAGGTCTGTCTGGGAAGTCTTCCTTGGGGACACAACAATCTGCTTATGCTGTTCTTGCTGAAGGACTGCAATCTCCAATCTTAAAAACTTCTCAGCATGGTGTAGTTATTGTTCCTTTTAATTTTCAAAATCTTAATGCAATACCTATAAAGTGATGGATTCTGAACCGATTATTACAAGTTGGGGATGAGACCTTGCAACTGTAAAAGATTGTTCCCTGCAAAAAACCAGCTCAATGAACACCATGGTGAGAAAACATATGGAACAAACACAAAAGTGTGTGCAATTAGGAAGTGATCAGATGGAGTAGAACAAAACAGCTCATGATGCTAAATGTATGTATCACACATTAAATACTGTCGAATACACATGCCCACATCTTGAAAACTGATCTGGTTATGGTATTCCACCGCCTCAAAAAGGGTATTGGATGACTGGGAAAGATTCCAAAAACAAAGTAGCATGAATGATGAAAGACAAGACACAGTTTCTGCATGAGGAACAATGAAATAGATTATGATTCTTCAGACTCAACTGAGGATACTGGAAGGGGTATCTCAAGACACCTTGATGTGGCTGAGGAGGGCCACAGTGATGTGATTTTCTTCAAAAGAAGAGATCCCGATGTAAAAAAAATATATGTTTTTAACTCATACCTGAAATAACCCAGAATGTCTTTCACTGCATGAACTATATTTTCATGAAAAGATTCACTATTCCTGTCTGTCTTAAGAAGCTGCTATAAATCTCAACTCATATTCTTATCCTGGAACTACGGATTTCAGCTTTGCAATCTGCTCTGAGCATGTAATGATAGGGTGATAGCAAAGCATGCTTCCACTCCTCTGACATTCAGTTTGGGAAGCACTGTTGGCTGGGCTAATGGTGAAGTTGATCTATCACTTCCAGCTTGTTCAGAATGGAAGAAATCAATTGCTTATTGATTTGTGTTATCGTGATCACAGCTCACCCAGCCACCTTGTGTTCTTTGCATTCCTGTTCCATTACATGGTAGACTTGGTTTAAATTAGCCTGGCTGATTCATTAGCCCCTGACTGACATGGGATATCTGAAAGCTCATCTTAGCCCCACCATCTCAAACACCTTTGTGCTCACGTATCAACTGACACTGAAGGGCTCTGCTCTCACTCCTACATTCACTGGGCAGTGCATTGGTTGTAGCACAGAAATGTACATTCCTCTGAAATGTACCATGCCACTGACACGATACCAAAGCATTTATTTTGAAGGAATTTCTGAATTTATGCTATGTTTTTAATTGGTCTAATTTAAGAATGTTCTTAGGAGAGTATTTAATGCATTTTTAGCCTCTTTTAAAGTAATTTTAGCTGCACAAAACATAGAAAAGAAGACAGAACCATGTAAACAGAGTTTTTCATAGATCACGAGCAAGCAAGAGAAATGACAGCAAATGATGGGCTCATTCCAGTGAATAACTTGAAGAGAAAGCACAGGCACCTGCTTAAATGTAGTAGTTTTTTTGGCTGTCACTAAAATCTGTAATAACTGCAATTCTTGATTTTTTTTTTTTTGCATTTCAACATTTTCCTTTTTGCTTTGCTGCCACATGTTTTTAGTCCTAAGCTGTGTTTTTTTTTTTTTTTTTAATATAATTTTAAAGATATTTGTCAGGCAAAGTACTGCAAGTTGCAGCATTGTAATGAAGCAACAGAAAGCAGTCACTAGAGGTGTGGTTTACAGGAGATAATTACAAACCCCTGCAGTGCTATGAGGTACAGATGAGTGCTTCTGGTATGGTGATTATCTCATGGAGGTGCCTTATTGTTATTATGAATTTCTTTCAGCCTTACGTATAAATAATTTATGTTAGTAAATTACTTTGATCTCTGATGCAAACGGTAAGTTAGTGTTAGAAACTTCCAACTGGGAGGTTCACAGGCATTAACCTATTCATGTATAATGCCTAAACACCAATCAATAGAGTCTCCATCTAAGCAACTGCATAACTTCATTCCATTTAAAGAGGGTGCAATGAAGCAGAACATAAATGACATAGCACTGATAACAGTTCTTTAGCTTAGAAAAGGCTATTTCAGGGCCTGTTGAGAAGCTGGTCTTTTTAGAGAAGATTCTGAATGTCTCCTGCTTGTCTTATGTTTCTTCTTGTATTTGTCAGTAGTCATTTTTGCCTTGACAGCACACTTTCCTAATGAGCTACTGAGAAAAATGCTATTTATGCAGATTACTCTCATCCACACTGCAGAATCTCTAACAGTGATATCTATCTTCTTAATATAAGCAATCTCCACATTTTTGTGTAAGATATTATGAGGAAGTTGATGCTCACAGCTCTCTTGGTAAAACAATACCAAGTAACAAGCCACAGCGTCATATGTTTTTTTTCCTAATTGGATCTACAACTCCAAAATAGTCAGTGGAAGGAAGGATATAAACACAGCGCAATGGGTTTCCAAATTCAATACCCAGTTCTGATTGTAGATATTTGCTGGAGAGAAACACAATAGAATGTGGTTTTCAGTGAAGACCCAAAATACAATCTCCCACTAATCAATATTCGCAATACCAAGCTAACAGGGCTCATTATACAGTTTTCATACCAATCAAAATGTTTTAAAACTCTGTGGAGAAAACAGGGACAGCACAAATGTGGATTATAAGCTAAATTAGCTCCTTTAAAATTTAGGAAACCTGGGTAAATAGTAATGACAGAACCTCTAATTGTAATTCCCACATCTGTGGGCTTTGGACAGTTTTGAGGCCATTGCTATTCTGTTGCTATAACGAGATCTCAAATCCAACGAATTCTTTGCCTTGGCAAATAAATTGTGAATGCATTTGATCACAAAGGTATCGTACTAATAACAGTAGCAGACCCCCACAGATGCAGAAATGCTTGGACTGGCCCTCACAGCAGCTGCCATAAGAGCATGTGGGGAGAGTTAGGAAATGATGACCCAATGACATCAAGCTAATTAGGCAAAGGATTGTGAAGTGAGCAAAATGGATATAAAATCCCAAGTGCAGAAATAGGCTAGAAATAGACGTGAAACAGGGAAAGCAAAAGGAGAACCGGAAAGAGAAACAAAAGCTGGAGCTGATCTGTCAGCCCATTATTACAGCACTTCTTGAGATTCTCACATGAGTATGGATGCACTCAGAGTACCATCATACCCAAAATGAATATGCAAGAGTAGGGATAAAGTGCTGAGAGTGAACAGGAAGGGCAGAATTCTTGCCAGCCTTTTCAGGCAAATGTCTGATTACAGAAACAGGTATTTCAGACTTGTGAAATGTTAACTATAAACACCATCAATACAAACTTAAGGATTTTAACAACTAAACCATTAATCGGTTGAGCAGAATAATTCCCTTGCTGTCTAAAAGGATTTCATGCCCATGAATAGAGCAGCCACACAGTTATACAGCTGGAAATAAACAGGTGCAAAATGCCTCTGGAGACAGAGAGACAGAGAAGAACTCTCTTTATGACTGCACCTACTGCACTTCTGAAGAAGATATTTTAGCATAATACAAATATGAACAGACAAGTGCCTTGCAATGTGCCTCCTCATTCAAGGGTCAGTCTTTGTTTGCAGGAATAACCCACCTGTCTTCCAAAATGGAATTGTAATATTTGTGATCAAAGATTTCTTCTGTTTGTTTTTACTCGTTATTTCAGAAATGCTTTCATGGGTTATACCCTCTTCAAATGTGCAAACTTGGCCATAAAATGAAGCTCATGTTAGTTGAGCTTCACTCTTTTGTTAAGTGTTAAGTAACTTAACACTTAATGCAAGTGTTAAGTTACAAGCCACATAGCAAGTAAATTAAGAAGCAAAACCAAGCCAAATAGGTTACAGCAGGAGATCTCAAAGAAACAGAAGGTTCCTGAGGCAAGGATCCAAAGGGCTTGCTTTGAATGCTGTTAAAAAAGGGATTAGCAGAGACAATGGTCTAAAGAAGAGATGTAAAGGAGGCTGATGCTAGGTGAACAGTGAACAGAAATAGAAGCAAAGGTCCAGGAGGTAAGTTTTAAAAGGGATTTTTAGAGCAGACAGGGAACATTCTTTCAAATGAAGTGAATTTATTAAAGGTATCAGGAGGTGGTATCTGTAGGGATACAGTCACGGTATACACTGGGAGTATGGAAGAGTCAAGAGAAACA